GTGCCTCAGGGTTCTGTGCTGGGTCCCATATTGTTCAACTTATTTATTAATAACATCGGGGAGGGTGTTAACAGCGATATTTCCGTGTTTGCGGATAACACCAAAATTGGGAGGGTAATAGACACGGACTTAGACATTATAACATTACAGGAGGACCTGGATAAATTAGGGGAGTGGGCAACAATGTGGCAGATAAGGTTTAATGTCGATAAGTGCAAAGTAATGCACTTTGGAATTAAAAATAAACAAATGGGTTATACAATTATGGGGGTGCCGCTAGGGAATTCAGAAATGGAGAAAGATTTGGGGGTCATTGTAGACCACAAACTGAAAGGTAGTTTGCAGTGCCAGGCTGCTGTAAACAAAGCTAGCAGGGTCTTGTCCTGTATTAAAAAGGGGATGTATTGCAGGGACAAGTCTATAATTTTGCCACTTTATAGATCATTGGTTCGACCTCATCTGGAGTACGCGGTCCAGTTCTGGTCACCAGTACTAAGAAAAGATGTCCTTGAGTTGGAAAAAGTCCAGCGGAGGGCAACCAAACTAATTAGGGGTATGGAGGACCAGAGCTACGAGACAAGGCTACTAAATTTAAACATGTTCACATTGGAGGTGAGGAGATTGAGGGGGGATATGATCTCCATGTACAAAATGTTCAATGGTGGCAGCAACATTAGCGATAAACTGTTTAAAATTAACTCCATTACAAAAACTAGAGGCCACCACCTAAAATTGGTGGAAAAAAAATTACAGCACAAGGGGCGAAGGGGGTTCTTCACAGTTAGAGCGGTTAAGGTCTGGAACTCACTGCCACAGGCAGTGATTTCAGCAAAAAACGTGGAATTGTTCAAGAAACTTTTGGACGTTTTTTAAGGGACAGTAATATACAGGGGTACAAGTACTCCTCAAAACGAGATCCTATAGGTTGGACTTGATGGACTAATGTCTTTATTCAACCTCAAATACTATGTAACTATGTAGTATATCCGTAAAGAATGAATTGTATTTATGTGTCCATCATTAAATCATCAGTTCAAAACCACAATTTACATATGTAAACCTTCTAAAAAGCACAAATATTATTTCTAATCACAAAATAGACTATTACATATGGTCTGTATATGTCATTGTGCTTACTCATACTAGTTAGATGTGTTTGACAGACCTTACACTGACAAATATGCACAGCAATGTCTGGAATGTTTCCAGCTGTAATCACCACACCAGGTTTCCTCTGAAAATTGTAGTCTGAAAAAATCAGTTCTTATATTAGATAAGCACAATCTCAAATACAGTATTATTCCGGTCCAGCCCACATCTTTATTACAAGCTCTGTCATTTACACGTCTGTGGTAAATCAAACACATAGGAAGATATATAAACCCAAAACCAAAATATTAAATATATTGCAGCTCACCAGCCCATATATGTGGTGGCTGCATTGGTTTTCCCATCACAGGAGCAAGCTTGGAGTGGTAAAGTAGCCACCCTCCAGTAGGAAAGACTAAGTCAGCATAAAAACTGAGATTATTTTAGGATCTACAGCTGAGTGATACACAAATAAGACATTTTTGTTAGTAGTTAAGTACTTTGAATGCATTTTTAAGAATTAACCCCTTAGTTTAATGTCACTTTAATTTTACCTGGTAATGCTGTAAATGACAAACTTCCTGTCCCTTTTTGTCTACACTCACTTATTTCTGGTATCTATGGAGGGAGCCATGGTTGTCACACAGGCTGGAATCATGCTTGGCTTTGATCATCTCCATTGCATGGTGAATTGATGGGGCTAGTCTTTTACAAAAGAGAGATAACATTGTTTATGGTCTCTTTTTAGCTTACATTAAGTGGCAAGATCAATAACTATTTTCTGTACTTGGCACAAATGTTCTTGCCACAAATCTTCTGCAAAAGGAAACTAATAAAACCATCAGATCTAAGGAATATAATATTTTTGTTTTTTGGCTTAGGTAAATGGTACTACCAAACATTCTCTGGTGGCGAATCAATCACTGTCATATAAAACCCATGGATCTGGAAGATTAACTGCTTTACAGATATGCCCTCAGTGTGTATGGCAAACCCTATACCCCAAAGTGTATAAAGAGATGTCTAAGAATTTCTTATTATATGTGCCTTGTCACCATGTCCTCTCAAATTGGCATTGCTGTAGTCCACCATTGTTTATATAATGGAACCTCTGCAGTAAGGATATTCCCTGCACTGAATCAATATTTTGTGATGCTAAACTGCTATAAAGAGCAAGAATGGACTTCATAATTTTGCCAGTTTGAGAGGAAATATTTCAGAGATGATTTGAGGATCTACAGCCGAGTGATAAACAAATAAGATACATTTTTGTTAATAGTTAGGGCACATAAATGCATTTTTAAGATTTAACTCCTGAGTTTAGTGTCACTTTAAAACGACAATATAGTTTAAACTTACATCCTTTTTTAATCTGCTTACCATCAACTATAATACAAAAGCAATGGAAACCATCAGGATCAAACTGCCAAATGTTGGGTTGTAAATCAAGAAAGATAATGCCAAAACTTGTCAGGACAATGATGTGAATAGAACAAGGATTGCACTGTGCTGCAGTTTCCTATCAAAACAAAAAGATTGCTTAAATTCTTATCAAAAACTGATGTGGAAAATGCCTGTGTGTTTATATCGTAACTACGGGATGAATCACAACGTGACACGCGTAATGTTATATACGTGTTCAATTTAATTTACCTTGGTCTATACTTTATTCCCAACAGCAACAGTTCTATTCCATTTGATACCGTTCCTGTCAGCGACATTAAGAATGATGACTATGATGCCTCAACCGATGAAGACAGCAAAAGTCCAGAACTCACAATCAAGGCTGGTATGAAAGCAAACCTCAATGACTTTAAAAAAAAGCCTTGTCTGTATTTTAAAGCAGAAGATGTTTAGGTATGATGCTATACAGTATGATGATACTAGTTCATCATCCAATAAGTAGGCAGGTGGCAAACAACTCAGTAGTACTATGCAGCAATCTGGCGTCGGCGGACCAGTGGCGGAGTCACCCTCCGTGTCTGGGACACTGGAGAGGTGAGTCTGCTGGATCCCTTACAATGGGTGAATCACAAAAGTGGCTGAACAGATTTACAAAACAGGGACATTTATTAAAACTGGAGCAGACAGAATTGGAGCAGTTACCCATAGTAACCAATCGGGTTCTCTCTTCAGCTTGTTCAGTTAAGATTTGGAAACGAAAGACAGACGCTTATTGGTTGTCATGCTCAGCTGCTCCATATTTTGTCTGCTCCAGTTTTAATAAACTCCCCTCTTTATATATTTCAACTGTGTGTATGGATGTAGTTCAAAGTAAGCTTCAAAGTAAGCCTGCCATAAACCTGGGTAATACAGACTGAAAATATGCTCACAAATGTTAATAAATCGGGGTTACCTGTAGTGAAAACTGCTTGAGAAAGCCAGGTGGCAAGTCATTACACTCTGCCTGACTTAATTAATGGCACTATCGGTATTCAGTATCAGCGAGTGCCGGAAAAAAAGTATCGGTACTTGATACCAAAAAAAAAAGGTATCAGTGCATCACTAGCAAATACTATCTAGTACGATACTTTACAGTATTATGTGGTACAGCAGCTTTTCCACTTGGCACGTGTCTTGGAAGTGGGATCAAATTGGAGAGAGGGTGTTTTTTTCTGCCAGTTTTCTACTACTGTGTACATTCAAATCATTAAAACATTCATGACTTTTTAAACATGGTATGGTGACAATTACAGCTATAGAAAAGATACTAGCATTAGGAATGCACCTATACTAATACTAGTACCAGTATTGGTGTCGATACAGAGTATTTGGGTGAGTACTCGTACCCGGCCAAATACTCCGATCTCCCTCCGACTGCAAATGCTAAGGGAGCATGGAACCGGCTTCCTTTCCAATCAGGAAGTCGGGCTGTGGGTTATGACCTGCCTCTGGCTTCCTGATTGGCTAGGAAGCTGGCTTCATTTGTTGCTAGGCAGCCTGGCTTCCTAACCAATCAGGAAGCTGGGTGGCATGTAATGACCCGCCACCCAGCATCCTGATTGGTCAGGAAACCAGGCTGCCTAGTAACAAGTGAATCCACCTTCCTAGCCAATCAAGAAGCTGGGAGGCGGGTCATGATGTCCCACATGGCTTCCTGATTGACTAGGAAGCCAGCTTCACTTGTTAGTAAGCAGCCTGGCTTCCTAACCAATCAGGAACCCGGATGGCACCTCATGACTCACTGCTCGGCTTCCTGATTGGCCACACGACAATGGTCCTCGGTATCGGCGAGTAAATATCGGTACTCGATACCGGAAAACCCTACTACAAATCTATCACAATTCATATATATCTCCAAGTTACTCTTACCCAAAGACACTGATCTCATCATCACACTGCTTGAATGCACTTTTTTTTTTTTTACTGATTTGCTTTGTCACATTAAATTGTCTTAATAAACTCTTCTTAGAAAGTGATCATTTAGGTTGCAAGTATAGGTCCACTTTAAGAGTGGAGATTCTGACAATGGCTGACCACATGAAACCACTATTGCTTATTCATGTTTTCCTGATAGGAATGTGCCGATATGTTAAATGATTTTCAAATGTGCTTGTGGCGTTACAAATGCTGATACAGCCACAGTGAGGGGATGTGAAATATGTGTTGTGCAATGTCAGCTCTGTAATATAGCAAGAAAAGCAGGATGACAAGTCATCCCTAAACTGTGAACTTTGATGAGAGATGTAAATATAGCTCTACACCTGCTTCCTTTTTAAGCTATTACTACAACTTATCTATAATGGAAAGAATTTTGTATAACTTGTCCAGAAAACAACACCAATGCTTTAAACATTTCCAAAGCAGGTCAGCAAGTAATCTGCACCTGTACCTAACTGGCAATGATGTGCTGACCACTGGAAATAGTTTGTTTTTCTTTGGACTTTCTAATACTTTTACATCATTGCATTCCAGTGTTCTTATCCTTTTAAGCTGTAACTAAGCGATCAAACCTTTGGAAGACCATATTTTTTCACCTAACGTGCATTAATTTGACAGTGTGCATGTCTAGCAGTCTTCTTGAGGACTACCGCGCTCAACCAAATGGCTGCTGGTGTGCATGTGCCTGAACAGTGCTGATGCGATCAATATTTTTGTTAGAACTTTATTGAAATGTCACAAGTGACATTTCATTAAGTTCTATGGGCTCACTGCGGTGCTATGCGGTTGTACTGTGTCTCACTGCGGTGCATTTAAAAAAGTACACACTACTGAACCAGGCCCACCTGTGACAAAGCAAATTGCCTTGCCTTGTGTTCAGGCTGTGCTAGAAAAAACGGCCAGCACAGCCCGAACATATATGGTGTGAACCAGCCCTCAAGAAAGGTACTAGCATATGTAAAGCTGAGAATAATAGAGAATCAGATAACATTTCCCAACTTGCTTGATTTAGGTTATTTTGCTAGTTGGTGATCAGCTGCAAATTCTTTAACTCCATACATAATTTGGCCCTGTGTATGGGTACCTTAATTTGTCTGCATTTATTTTTGTGCTAAATGGCTGGCAGAGATCTAATACAGCCACCTGAAGATTTCAACATGAGCAACACCTTGGGGACCAAAATATGCACACAAAAATTAAAGAACAATTCTTCATCACTCCATGTTGTCAGTCACATTTATAGACAATTAATCAGACCAGAGCCTTGAATGGGAGGCTCTGGTCTGATTAATTGTCTATAAATGTGACTGACAGCATGGAGTGATGAAGAATTATTTTAATTAAAGCGGGCAGCAAAGGATTGCATTTTCATGGGATTTGGGAATTTCAGGGTTTGTAATCTTCTCAGGTTCCTAGATGAAGGCTTTGCAACATCGCCCTTGACTAGACTAATGTGCCAAAAGCTGGGGTGTAAAGTTTTTTTTTTTTCCAAGGATTTTTTTTTGGTTCAAATAAGTGGTTCTTATTTGATGAGTGAGGGGCTATCAAATCCTTGATAGGGTTTACAAAAATTACTGTCAAATATGTACTATTCAACTTATATACCTCACTGGTTCATAGTCGGTGAACAAAAACTCTTTTCAGGTTTGGCCTCTGATACCCAATTATTACCCTACTTGGTGGTGACTATTCTAACTCGCACACACCAGCCAAAGGCACAATTATTGTGTTACTGCTTTCTGCATATATCAGCAGCCAGGGAGAGTGGTTAGAGATGGAGATTAGGTCTAAGTTTTTTTGACAAAAGGCTAACATTTGTATTTTGGTAACAATGCCATCTAGTCAACTTAGGCTATATTTTCGAAAGCAGCTGATGAAACCGATTATGAAGGTAGCATTCTACAAACTTGTCAAAAAAAAATCATTTTAGGCAATCCTTGCACATGCATGAACCCCACTGAAAATACTATGATACAACAGCTTAAGATGTGTAAAAGAAAGAAATAGAATGGTAGATGTAAAACTCGGTTCTTATCTTTCAAAGTATTTTATTAATTTTCCAAAGTAGAATAAAACAATAAAATAGCACATGATGCACAATCAGTATAGCATACAAATGCATGTCAGATTCTTCCACATTAGCATAGTCAAGTAGTAGGGGGGGATCACCATACACACAATATATAATAGTTCTGTAAAACAGATCATATCTATCACCCTATTCTTGCCAATTTATCCCCCATCAGCAAAAACAAAACTCAAAACAGTCTCAGAGGAATATTTGGCATAGGGATCCGCCTATGTCTGCAGCAAACATTTTTAAAACTCGGTTCTTAATTAAGTAAAGTGGAAACCAATTAACAACTTTTCTCCACCTAAGGGCTCCTTTCCATCTCAGATTGGATGTGTCACTGCTCCAGATGGCACACCTGTGCAGCGCTATTGCTTTCTAACTGGTTGGCCAAAGTACTGCATACGTGCTAGTGGGCTTCACAGACTTCAATAGGCTGACTAGACTTTAGCGAATCTTTAAACAGCATTGATGGTAGTGGTAAAGGGGACCTTTGGTGAAAACCAAATGTAAATGTTTTCCTTTTGATTTTATGTAATCTAAAGTGATTGTTTATACAACTGTATACTACTAGGTTGTTACACAATTGTGTCAAAATTATTTGTTTTATAAAGCAAATTCTATATAGTATATGGATGCACTTTTTTTTTTTTTTTTTTTTATTGAGAAAATTATTTAAAAGGTCTTGTTGGGCAGAATATGGTTTACCCTGGATGCAAATAAAATGGCTCATGAGTATTTTCCGTTTGACAAGTGTACAAAGTGGTTATGTTTATTCATGGTTCACCTATACCACTTCACAGGTTATGTTACTCTAACATAACATTTCGTGCTCACTTGCGATTTTTAGTAAAGCTTGGCAGCTGTGCTATTAGTCTGGTCTCACAGAGAGCTAACAGGCTGCTTGTTATCCATCAAGTTCAGGGAAGAAGTTTATTTGAACATTACATAGTTACATAGTCAGGTTGGAAAAAAAAGAGATAAGTCCATCGAGTTCAACTTATAGAGATAAGAGGGAAAAAAAGAGAATAAAATCCAAAAACAGAACGCTATGCCCACAGTTATCCACAGTTACCCACCATTGATCAAGAGGAAGGCAACAAAAAACCTATAAAACTTGGTTCAATTTTCTCCAGCAGGGGAAAAAAAAATTCCTTCCTGGTTCCATAAGACAATCACGTATTCCCTGGACCAACAATCTCTGGTGCTTACTATACTTATAAGAAGTCAATATCTGGTAATATTCTGTGCATTTAGCAATGCATCCAGATTATTTTAAAACAGTCTCTCTCTGGAGTCTATACCCTTTTTAATACAAGAAAGTATCACATGCTATT